GGATTCACTTGTGCCCTTGTAAAGGACCCTGTGGCACAATAGTAATGTTCCTATCTGTGGACCAGAAGGTCTGGGTTCAGGTCCCATCTGCCCCAGAGTCATGTCTAAACAGATTGATTAAAGATAATTTATTTATAAATACATACAGGCTGCAGCTGCGACTGTAGTTTTAGGAGATGGGTAACAGGCCAATATGTAACTCTGCAAATAAATTTTTAAAAAGTGTGTCAAATTGGCCCCATATCTATCCTTCACCAACTGGCGTTCTGGAATTGAACATTCGAACTAAATTGATTGGGGATTGACACAGGTTGGCTGATTGTGAGGAAGCACAGTAATCAGTCACGGAGGTTGAATCCTAAACTTCAGGATAGCACAGTTTTCAATAACCCATGAAGACAAATATTCCAGTGATATCATCAGTACACCCTACTTCAGCGAAAATATTTTTAACGTCAGCTGAACCAGTAAGAACCAATTATTCTGGAACATTGCATGTCCTGTTAATTTGTACTTACAATTTATACTTATTTGTCACAGAAGTTTTACTGGGGGATAAAACAACAAGATGGACAGACAAAAGGATTCAGAAAAGACTTACAAGGATATTGCCAGGTTTGGAGGGTTTGAGTTATAGGGAGAGGCTGAATAGTCTGAGGCTATTTTCCCTGGAGCGTCGGAGGTTGAGGAGTGACCTTATAGAAGTCTATAAAATCATAAAGGGGATAGATAGAGTGAATAGCTAAGGTCCTTTACTCAGGGTAGAGGATCTAAAACTAGAGGTCATTGGATTAAGACAAGAGGGGAAAGATTTAAAAATGATCTGAGGGGCAACTTTTTCACTGAGAGGATGGTACATGTATGGAATGAGCTGCCAGAGGAAGTGGTGGAGGCTGGTACAGTTACAACATTTAAAAGGCATCTGGGTGAGTATACGAATGGGAAGGGTTTAGAGGGATACTGGCCAAATGCTAGCAAATAGGACTAGATTAATTTAGGATTTCTAGTCGGCATGGACAAGTTGGACCGAAGGGTCTGTTTCCATGCTGTATAACTCTATGACCATACCAGAAGTAGGCTCACATGAATTATGGCATCATGTAGCTGTTGGATTGTTGGGGCCTTCCTGTTCAGAATGATTAAGGTTAGAAGCTCCTTCATTTCTTACTGGGGGCCACTAGATCTAGTTCCCAAATATTAAGATATTAAGAAATATGCAGTCGGGATAAACATTAGCAATCCTTTACTGAGTACAGGAGATCTGAGAGTCATCCATCTCTGATAATGTAAATTAGGGAGGATATTCTGCAGATGCAGCAATGATTTTAGATGGGAGTTTTTAAGTGATCTGTTCGAATAGATCAAACTGGGCTTCATCCAAAGCAGGGGAGGCATCCTTCCACCCCAAGAGTTTTTTTTATTCATTCCCAGGATGAGGGCATCACTAGCCAGGCAGCATTTATTGTCCAGAGGGCAGTTCAGAGTCAACCACATTGCTGTGGGTCTGGAGTCACATGTAGTCCAAACCAGGTAAGGATGGCAGTTGCCTTCTGTAAAGGACATCAGTGAACCAGATGGGTTTTTCCAACAATCGACAATCGGTTCATGGTCAACATTAGATTCTCAATTCCAGGTATTTCATGAAATTCAAATTCCACCATCTGCCGTGGCGGGATTTGAACCCGGGTCCCCGAAACATAATCTGGGGCTCTGGATTAACAGTCCAGTGATAACACCACTCGGCCATCATCTCCCCATTGCACAGTGGACTTTCAAGACCTCCTTGCAAAAGGCTCCTCAGAAGAGAATTCCTGTTTCATGACGAATAAGTGAACCATATGAAAAGGGACTGGCACTTAATTTGATGATTGTTGTTTGTGAGAATAGTTTTCTTTTTCTCAGTTCTAGCCACCTGTCCGCCCCAAAGCTACTCCAATGCTCAAAAGATGGTGGATTGTGCTTGGAGTCTGCCCTCACGTTGCTGACTACTAGCTGGCATCTCTCCAGTCATGACCTTTCTTCTTCTTTAGGTGAAGGGGCTTAACAGGACACAAACACCATCATAACCAAACCCAATGGCCTCACACCCCCCTAAAACACTGGAGACCATTTTGAAGAAATGACTGTCGTGATTTTATTCCGCCCTGTCCTTCCCGATCAAACCCTTCCTTGCCTGAGGGAGGTTCGAGGTTAATTACAGCATGTTCTAAAAACCATTGCAAATTATTATTTACATTTTATTGTCAAAAGATGTTCCATCTGACTGATTGGTGGTTCACCCAGATAATGTAAAGGACATTGCAGAGAAAAATCAGACAACGTTAGGAATATAGTACATTGAGGGCAGAGAGATTAGTATCTGTGTATTAGAAAATAACATTTCAGACTTATGCTCCAGACTTCCAGTACCTTCCAATTCTTAATCAAAAACCCATCCCAATCAGAAATTTGTTCTCCAATAATTTACTATCTTCAAGTAATTAATCTTACATTAAAAATTCTTGCATTGTTCACTGCCTGTTGGATTTTCTTACTTCGGACATCATGTGATCGAATATATTCGCTGATTTACCATGAGCAACTTCACAGGAGGCTGACTAGTATGAATATATACTATTTCACAAGAGTTGAGTTTGCTTTACAGAACACAGTAGTGATATTTTGCTTCTAATGTGGAGGTGTCTTTAAACTGGCCCACCACTTCAAGTCAACTGCCCTGAATATCCAAAAAGCAACCTAAGATCAATTTATGGGTAACTGCTTAACAGTCCCCAGATCCTACTCAGGAGGTTGTCAGTGTCAAAAGAAAGCAGGATCTGATTGTTTCTTCTATATATAGTATTAAAGTGTGCACTAAGCACAACATTACCTTTGTAATTACGTAGCATCTTTAACATTAAACATCCCAAAGTGTTTTGCAGAAGCATTGAAAAACAAACATGTGACACCAACTCACGTTAAGATAGATGGACCAAAGAGAAAGGTTCTAACGAATGCCTTTGTGTGAGTGTGTGGTAGGAAATTTCCTGGCAAAGAAAAAAGTAAAAAATTTACTCTGCAGAGATTAAGTTTGAAAAAACACCTTGGCCAAATAATGGTTAGCTCTTGAAGGATGAAATGAATATGAAAAGTTTCCAGTCTGGTGTCCATGCACATGCAGATGGGTCACTCAGCACTGATGGTTGTCACTGGGATCTTCAAACTTTGTTCATTCTTGAGATGTTCAGAGGAATTAATCCAAAAGCCTTTCACAGACAATAGCTGGTTGGGTGAATGGACAAATCAATGGTAGATGCAGTATAATTTGGATAAATATGAGGTTATTCACTTTGGAAGCAAAAACAAGAAGGCAGATTACTACCTGAATGGCTGTACATTGGGAGAGGGGAGTGTGCAGCGGGACCTTGTGCCCCAGTCACTGTAGGTAAGCATGCAGGTAGAGCAGGCAGTAAAGAAGGCAAATGGAATGTTGGCCTTCATTGTGAGAGGTTGAGTACAGGAGCAGGGATGTGTTGTTGCGGTTATACAGGGCCTTGGTGAGACCACACCTGGAATATGATGTGCTATTTTGGTCTCCTTTTCTGAGGAAGGATGCTTTTGCTCTCAAGGGAGTGCAGCAAACGTTTACCAGGCTGATTCCAGGGATGGCGGGTCTGACATTTAGAGTTCAGACGAATGAGGGGGGGATCTCATAGAAACTTATAAAATTCTAACAGGACTGGACAGGGTAGACGCAGGGAGGCTGTTCCCAATGGTGGTGTGTGTCCAGAACCAGGGATCACAATATGAGGATTCGGGTAGACGATTTAGGATGGAGATATGGAGACATTTCTTCATACAAAGAGTGGTGAGCCTGTGGAATTCATTACCACAGGAAGTAGTTGATGGCAAAACATTGAATGTATTCAAGAGGTGACGAGATATATCACTTGGGTCGAATGGGATAAAAGGTTATGGGAAGAAAGCAAGATTAGGCTATCGAGTTGGATGATCAACTATGATCGTGATGAATGGTTGAGAAGGCTCAAAGGGCTGAATGGCCTCCTCCTGCTCCTGTCTTCTATGTTTCTATGTTACAGTTTTTTTCAACTGTCGCACAGGTTCCTAAAGAGGATTTCTCATAAACGTGGCTGGATGTCCTATTTGTTCATCACATATACCCCAACTGAATTCGCAATAATATCAAAATAGCTGAACAGTAGGTAGCCACGAACCAAGGCATGTGACTTCCAGTAAATCCAGCAGCTATCAAACTTGGCTGTTTTAAAGAGTCATAGAGTCATACATCACGGAAACAGACCCTTCTTCCAAGTCATCTGTGCTGACCATACATCCCAATCTGACCTAGTCCCATTTGCCAACATTTGGCCCATATCCTTCCAACCTTTCCTATTTATATACCCATCCAGATGCCTTTTAAATGTTGTTATTGTACCCACCTCAACCACTTCCCCTGGCAGCTTGTTCCATGCACACACCACATTTAGCTTCAACTATTATGATTTCCAATACGTGATTTTAACTATTTAAAAAAAAAACCGCTGCCAATCCAAACAAACCAATTTTCACAATCCTTTCGTCATGATCCCTTAAAAAAACAAAAATGCAAGCATCTTTGAAACAGTTGTGATAGATAAATCAGCTGGTGTAGGTTCATATGCTCACCTGAGCTCTGGAATACTGTATTTTATTTTAGCTGTTTATTCTATCATATGATACAAGTACCACTGAGTATTTGCTGCACGTCCCTAATCATAGATTCAAAAGGATCTTTGCGAAAATGAAAAAAAAGCTAGTTATTAATGTGGTATGAGCATTTAGCACCACTTTATGCACCTGGATTTCTACAATGCGTGTTTAAGAAGGAGCTCTGAACAAAGAGCCAGTTAAACATCACACTCATGCTGCATCTCCTAAATGAGTCATGAGCAATGGCAAGGAATATTTGATGCTATATGAGAAATAAAAACTGATAGAAATCACATAAGAAATTCCACTTTTATTTTAAAGATCAGTAAGTGAGGATTAGTACTGTTTAGGATGCCTTGCTGTTTCTCTCCACAATGCATTGATTCACTGCATCACCCCATTCGGAGCAGGACACTGGTAAATCTGTAAAACACATGTGTATGTGAGTGTCTTAGCTGTTCGACATACTTCTGAACCACTTTTAAAGGCAAAATTGTTTATTTTATGAGCAGAATGGTTCCAGTGAGAAGAGAGAGGTTCGTCAGTTTCAGTTCACAGCATGGCCGGATCACGGAGTCCCAGAGTATCCAACCCCCTTCCTGGCATTCCTAAGGAGAGTAAAAACCTGCAATCCTCCTGATGCTGGACCTGTGGTGGTGCACTGCAGGTAGGATCTTTCTCTTAATTTGGACACTGTTCCATGTTTTGTGCCTCCAGCCGTTTCACATCAGATCTGATGATGATTAAATCACTGTTGTGATTGCCACTGGTTTGAGTCAGGGCTTGATTGTAGAGGTTATAAACCAAAGCTAACCTTGTTTAATCTTTTCTTTGTAGCAGAAGTAATTCCACTGACCAAAGGTAGAACTCTGTGAGTTGGTGATACTCTAGATTTGTACCAGAATAGCTGGAAACGAAATGTTGCCAACCTTCCAGGATTAGCCTGTAGTCTGCAAAAATTGACTATGCGACAAAACATCATAGCAATGTTGAAATAAACTGTCATTTTCTTTGAACATTTATCTTTATTGGACATAAAAATATTGGAAGTTAGAAATAAGTACGTTTAGTGGACAGACAGGCATTAATTATTTAATTGTGTAAAAACCAAAAGACCTGCAAGATGTTGTGAATCAGGAACAAAAACAAAGTTGTTGGAAAAGCTCAGCAGGTCTGGCAGCATCTGTGAAGGAAAAAAACAGAGTTAATGTTTTGGGTCCAGTGACCCTTCCTCAGAACTTAGAACTCAGAACCTCTGAGGACGCATCACCAGACCTGAAAAATTAATTCTTTTTCTCCTTCACAGATGCTGCCAAACCTGCTGAGCTTTTTCAGCAACTTTGTTTTTGTTCATTATTTAATTCTGTACTGAGTTTTAATGCTTTCTAATTGGTATGAGTATGCAGTACATCACAAGGATAGATTTGTTGGCTGACTGATGACTGAAGTGCAGAGGAAGACTCCAGGAATACATGTCATCACAGCTGCCAATCCATTGGGAAGGCCACAACAGTCCTATATTCCTGGTTACAGACTATTCCTGGTTATGGCCTAACACAAAAGAAATAAACAACTGTTTCATAGTGTGTTAATGGAAGGCTCTAGCCCAGTTGGGTAGCAGTAGACAACTACCATAGTCATCCCTTGAAAATGTTGACTACACTCAGCACTGACTTGTATTTGTTTTAGGTGGAAGATGTATTGGAAAATTGCACATTTCATCTCGAGCACCAGTGGTCACGTGCTCAGTAGTTACGGGGAAATAAAACTCCCAACAGCCCCTATTCCAAAACATGTAATTTCTAAAACAAACATATAATTTCTGCCTTCCAGGTCAGGCTTCTTCATGGCCACTCTGGATACAGTTATCAATCTCTAGTCCTATCAATTTAAATAAATACACGTGTCCATTTTGGGCAATATCAGTAACCTTTTCTGGCTGAGATGTTTAATACCAATCTTTTACTGGTCACCACTAAAAACTGTCCGTTATTAAATCCATCTGTAAAGCCACTAAACTCTGAGCATAGAACAAAAGGTTTTGTTTTAATGATAGAATTGATTTTCTCCAGCCCACGCTGCCCACATGGTTACTTGATGAGAATTAGGCTGGTGTTGCAGGCCTGTCAATTCTCATTTAGTGGGAGTAATACCCATTTTGGATTTAATATGCATTTGGAAAAACAAGTGCAGCTCCATTTATTTAAAGACATTTGTAAGGCCTGACCATCATTTTTACGCTTGGCATTTCCACAATATTAATCGTCCAGTACCTTGCTCATAAGCCCATTCGTCATGTGTGAGAACAGACATCCAGTCAGCTGTTGGCTTATGGACCTCACCCAGCAGCAAGAATCTTTCTTCATTAGTCTAGGTCAGGGACACTAGAACCAATTGTAGAACAAAGTCACCACAAGAATAAGAAGTGCAAAGCAATTAAAGGTATTAAAGTCCAAAATTACCTTAATGCCATCCTGTGGGGAACAGCCCCAGCAACACGACCTGAATTATTTCAATTCACCTTTCAGTGCTGGAGTTGGTCGAACCGGCTGTTTCATTGTCATTGATGCGATGCTCGAGAGAATAAAACATGAGAAGACAGTTGACATCTATGGCCACGTGACATTGATGAGGTCACAACGGAACTACATGGTGCAGACAGAGGATCAGTACATTTTTATCCATGATGCATTGCTGGAAGCAGTGGCTTGTGGGACCACAGAGGTGATGGCCAGGAACTTGTTCTCTTACATTCAGAAACTCACGCAGGTTGAGTCAGGAGAGCATGTCACAGGAATGGAGCTAGAGTTCAAGGTAAGAAGACTGACCACATTGTTCTGGTACAGGAGAGAGAAAGGCTGGGGGATACAACTGGGGAGGAACTAGAGGATTGCTGTGTTTTTATATTAATGGTTCCCAGCCACCACTAATCAATTCTTGAGGTGACATTTAACATGGCTAATTGTGAACTCACCTGTTAGCTGAAGAGCCAGTGAGAGCCCTGTGTTGCCATTTTTCAGGAAGACTTGCTGCACTACATGTCAGTCAGGCAGTGGTGGGCCTTCCCAGGATTAAGGACCCTGGACACACAGGGCCCATGCACCAAGAGCTTCCAGTCACTCCGAACAGGGGCTGTCCATTGCTTGCTAGCACCACTGAGGAGGTGGTGGTTGCTGCTGGTACTGCACCCAGATGAGGTCCACGATCACAGAGGGGGCCCAGGCTATGGATGAGTGACTGCAGGAGGGGCATCATAGGGTGAGGCTGAGCGAGAGCGCCAGCAACAGCAAAGGCAGCGATGAGGTTGCACTCAGCAGTACCCGACCCACTTTCCTACCCAATACCATGTCTCTCAATCAATCACTGAGCACCTTTGAATGAGGGACCCTCTCTTGGAAGATGCAAGCGACCCCACAAACAGGGTTTGCTTTTCAGACTTCCTGTCAGAGTCACTCACCTACCACTTGGTGAATGGGAGCATCAGCCTTTAAGTGGACATTAATGGCCTGTTTCAGGGCCTCAATTGGTGGTGGGAGATGAAGACCAGCCCTGATTCTATCCACTCCCTTATAATTGGGGCAGAGGCAGGAAGGCAGCAGGGTATGCACATGCCACCTTTCCAGTCTGTTTACTGCCCTATTTATGCCACCTAATGCATTTAACTCACCATTTGCAAATTGAGCCCTGGAGCCTTCTGTATTTAAGATTCCATTGATGGTTAGTCGTCGTGAATGACTTCACAAAAAACAGCCATCCTCCATCTGTCACCCCAGACAGTGAGATCAATAGTGAGGACATTACAGTCAAACCCAATTCAATCTTCGTCTGGCAGACACTTGTATACCCTTTTTCCAGAAGTCACTAGATAGCCCTAGAGAATGGGAACACTGGCTGAGTTTTCTGCTGTCTGGCACAAGAATGTCTCCAAGCACCATGGCTAAGATTTATTAACTGAGAACTGTCTGACGATTGAACCTATTGCCTCGCCTGATCTGAGCTCAGCAAAAACAAAAGGCACAAGACAATTGCAGTTGCTCTTTATGCAAACTGTTCGTCTAGTATAGATTTTAAAAGCTTGTAGCAATTCCTCCTGAAATAGAGAGTCATGACTAAATGAGGCATACATGCACATCTGTTAACTAGCTTTAATGAGGAACAAACAAGAACTTGCGTTTGTATAGCAGCCTGTCATGTCTTGGACCATCCCAAATTGCTTTACAAACAATGAAGAACTTTTCAAGATCTCTTGTAATGTGGGAAACCCATGAATTAATTTGTCACACCAATGTTTCTATAAACAGCCGTGAGATAAATGACTCAATCAGGTACCTTCATGTGTCATTTGGGGGTTAAAGGCTAGCCGGAGCAGCGGGGAAGTATCCCTTTTGCCCATGATTCGATGGGCTGAATGACCTGCTCTGTCACTGTAGGGATCCTATGCTTGAGAGGTTCGAATGGGATCATGCTTTAAGCTCTCATTCCAGAAACGGCACCCCTATTGGATCAGGTGATTATAAAGAAAAAAGCCCAATACACCACAAAATCTGTTTGTGGTGATTCTGGGTGAGGGAGGAGTGTTGGCTGAAACATTAAGCCTGCCAAGAGATATTTTAGATCCACCCAAGCAGGCTACCATGGCCTCACTTTAAAGTGTTGTCAGAGAGAAGACACGTCCAACAATGCAGCACCCCCTCAATACTGCACTGAAATATCAGCTCGGATTCCACACTCAGTGCTGGAACCCACTACCAAGTGGCTCACACATGTGCTACCAATTGATTAAGAGTGAATTATCAGTGAATTAACTCGAACTGCATAGCATTATATTTGATAGCTCATATAAAAGTAGACAATATTGACACTTGATTGTTTCAAAAGATATTTCGTACGATTCCCAGTTAGATTTATTATTAAATTTGGTATGTTTCCACACTCAACAAGGTGAAAGCTATAAGTGCAATGCAATTCTTACACCCCTAATTTCAATATCAAGTGCTTCCAGATCAAGTAAGATGTAGCTAGATGCCCAAACTCTGCTTCACTAATGCACTCCAGCCTCATGCTCAGGAGAACACCCACCTGATGTTTTGTAACGTTGTCCATTGGTCAGGAGGAGTATTAGACGTCCTATGAGCAAATCAAGTTGATTTACAATTTAATGTCATTCCAAGGAAAACTTTGAGGCTTTGGGAGTCCAACTCACAATGAATTCAAGTCAGATTTTGAAGTCTGTAAATACTTTCATCTCATTAGTCTGGGATAGGAGCCAGAGACAGTCAGTATTCCAATCAATGGCACTCCTTATCTGTACTGTCCCAATGATGCCCGTAAAATTAATTTTTATTTAGTAAAAAGTTGTGGGCTTGTGTCAAGAAGATAAGAAATCAGCACAGCTCAGTAACTTATAGATGCAGAATGTGGGGATATCAAAGTGGAAGAAATGTGTGTCTGCATGCAGTGTAACAGTTAGTGTAAGATACAGTTGCCTGGTCAGAGTATGATTACATTACCACAGCCAAGTCCTGTTGGTGGGAAGTTGCAACCTGTAACAGGTTCTATACGTAAGCAATTGATGCTTATATGCATTTTAGTAGGGAGAGAGAGAGAGATAAACAAGAAACAAAGACAGAATGCTGGATGATCTCTGCAAGTCTGGCAGCATCTGTGGAGAGAGAAAGAGAATTAACATTTTGAGTTCTTGCCTTTATTCAAGATAAGCAGGAAGTGAAGGAACTTTGGCACTGAGGGCTTGTAGTGGCATTATTAAAGGGAGATTTAAGATAACTTTTTGAAGGCAGTTATAGGTGCTAGGGATTATTAGGGAAAAGACCAGTTGGTGGAATGGGGTCAAAGTGATAAATGGGGTATCTTGTTCTAGTAGTGGTCAAAATCCCACAGAGTGTGGGAAACAGTCACTCAGTGTGATATTCCCCAGGTGACCAATTCATGACTGGAAGGTGGGATCACCATCCAGTTAAAGGATGGCAGACAGACTGTCAAAGCTGGGTGGGTACCAACCAGACCCAGGAAATAAGTCCATCCTTAAATATAAAATAAAAACCAAGCCAACACATGTGCGTGGAGAATTGTTGTGAGGCAGGGAGGGGGAGGCAGGGAGGTTGTTGTTGAACTCAGGTGAATGTACAGGGACTTGAAGACACTTCTCAAAATTAACCCTGACGGTGAAGTGCAGCCGAAAGCCTAAAAAATTGTAAACAAAAGCTGAAGTTCCAAAGGACCTCCCTGAGACCCTACAGCAAATGGAGGTAGTTCATGTGCATTTACCAGTCCCAGACCGCCTGGGGAATCATTGATACAAGCCTCAGCACCAGGTTAGTGACCTTCCTGCTGCCAAAAAATGAATTTACCTCCACCCTAACTATGGCTAGTGATTTTGAGGTTGGGTTGAGTTTACGCAAAGTAACCATTTGAAGAGGTTTGCAACGGAATACTTGGGTATCGTAAAATCAATTTAATAGACTGGCTGGGGGCAGCTCCCCATGAGATTAATGTTATATCGTGTGAGCCAAGACTTAACAATAACTGTAAAAGCTTGCTTTTATATAATGCCTTTCAGCTTAGTAAGATATCCCATGGTGTTTCACCAAGAGCACTCTTAAACAAAATTTGACACCAGAGCTACATGACGAGACCAATGACAGAGACATGTTTTAAGAAGCATCTTTTAAAAAAAAGAGCAAGTTAAGTGGCTTTTTTTCTAACTCATTCATGCAATGTGGGCATTGTTGACTGTGCCAACATTTATTGCCTGTCCATAATTGTCCTCAAGGAGGTGGTAATGAGCTGTCTTATTAAACTGCAGCAGTCCATCATGGGTAGGTACATTCAGAGCACCGTTCGGGAAAGAGTTCCACAATTTTGACCCAGTGACACTGAAGGACCTGCAGTGTAAGTCCAAGTCATGATGGTGTGTGACTTGCAGGTAATGGTGTGACACAACAATGGGTGGAAAGGCATGTTGCAAGAGGGATACAAACAGTTTACAGAGAGATAGTGATAAATAAGTGGGGAAAATTTGACAAATGGACTATAATATGGAAAAATGTGAAGTTTTTCATTTTGGAAGGGAGAACAAAAGAACAGGATATTATTTAAATGGAGAAAAGCTGAAGAAAGCTGTAACACAAAGATACTTGGGAGATTTGTGCATGAAACACAGAAAGCTAACACACAGGTGCAGTTATAATCAGGAAGGCTAATGGAATGTTGGCCCTTATTTCAAGGGACTGAAGTACAAGGGTAAGGAAGTCTTGCTGCAACATACAAGGTGCTCGTGAGACAACATCTGGAGTACTGTGAGTGGTTTTGGTCCCCTTATTTAACAAAATATCTTCATTTCGTAGGAGGCTGTTCACAGAAGGTTTACTAGGATGATCTGCAGTATGGAGAGATCGTTTTATGATCAAAGCTTAAACAAGTTGGGAGTTTAGTAGAATGAGGGGTGATTTCATTGAAACATATCGGATTCTTAAGGGACTTGACAGGGTAAATACTGAGAGGATATTTCCCCTCTGGGGAGAGTCTAAGACAATAGTAGATCGTCTTGGAATAAAGAGGTGCCGATTTAAGACTGAGCTGAGGAGGAAATTCTAATTTCAGAGGGTTGTGCATCTTTGGAACTCCTTGCCACAGAGAGCTGTGGGGCAGAGTTCTTGCCTATATTTAAGGTTGAGATAGATTTTTGATCAGTAGCGGAATAAAGGATTATAGGGAAAGGGAAGAAAACGAATGTTAGAAATGAGGAATCAGCCGTGATCCTACTGAATGATGGGGCAGGCTGAAGGGGCAGAACAACTTACTCCTGTTATTGCTTATCATCTATGGTCTTATTTGCTGCCCGTGTCCATCTAGATGGTAGAGGCTGCAGGTTTGGAGTTGTGAGCATGGAGGCTTAACATGGAAATTTTAGCCCTTAGGGTTTAGACACTGGAGTAATAAAGATCAGAGAGTGAGGCAGAAGAATCTGATTCTAAGTTGAATGATAACTGGGGATGGGGGATCTACACTGATTTCAGTTTTCCCCTGCAGAATGTATATGTGTTTGTGTGTGTATGAGAGAGAGAAAAAGAGAGTGTGTATGCGTGTGTGGGGTCAGGAGAAATATTTCCACGTCCAAAAACCAATAGAAGTTACAACTTAGCCAAGCTTAGTTACCTGGAATCAAAACAGTCAACAGAAGACCCATAATATCGATTTCCAATTCCTGCAGCTGTTTGTTACCCGCAATGATCCAGCCAGCTGATTACTGCAGCAAAAATGTCACAATGAACCAAGTGATTTCAAAAATTAAGCTGAAACTAACCTGTTGGTCATTAATAGCTGAAATCATTATTTC